CCCACCAATTTAGATTCAGTTTTAAAAATATTTTTATTTACGGGTGCAAAATTTACGTAGCCTATGAGTTTAATTGAAAAAAAAAAAAGCAAATATCACTAGGAACTGGCTCTGTGGCTCAGTTGGTAGGTAGAGTGCAAGCCTAGCGTGATGAAGCCCTGGGGTGAATGCCTGGCACCATGTACACCAGGTGTGGTAGTGCTCCACCGGAGCCAGGTAATGCCAGCACTGCAAGAGGATCAGAAGTTCATTCTTGACTGCTGTGAGGCCAGTTTGGGATAAGACAGCCTATCCAGCCTGTCTTTGGTCTCTCTGATTTCGAGGTCAGCCTGGTCTACATAGTGAGTTCCAGGCCAGCTGGCTACAGGGAGACTCCCATCTCAAAAAAGACCGAAACCCCCCCCCCCAAAAAAAAAACAAGAGAGAGAGACTATTTCTTAAAAAAAATCAAGAGGGTGGGGTGTAGTTCGGTTGTTAGAGTGCTTACCTAGCCACATGCAAGGCCCTGGGTTCAAAAACCAACAAATAAGTGCATAAAGATGTAATTAGTAGTGAAAGTTCTGCCTATGTGAAGCTTCCAGACTTCAGAGGGTCCATAATCCTGTAGATACTCACTGAGATGCAGAGAGGTGAGGACTGTGCAAGGGTCCGGGTGGCTGCCTTCAAGCTCTGTGTGGTATTTTTTTTTAATTTTAATTATTCTTAAATTTTATGTGTATGCGTGTATTGCCTGCATGTAGGTAAGTGCACCAGTGTCGTGCAGTGCCTAAGGAGGTCAAAAGAAGATGTTGGATCCCCTGGAACTGGAATTAACGACAGTTGTTAGCTGTCATGTGGGTTAGGGTTAGGGATTTGAGTCTTCTGCAAGAACAACCAGTGTTCTTAACTGCTGAGCCTCTCTCCAGCCCCAACTGTGTGGTGTTTTTATTTGTGAGTTGATTACAATAAAGTAACTAAAACAAATTAATTAAAAGAAAATAAACTTTTCTATTTGCTACTTGCTTTTTGCTTTGAGGGTATTAGTGGGTAAAACTGATGATTATACTGTTAGCTCACTTAGGAAACCTTCATGGACAGATCAGACCTAACTGGGCTTTATACCAGAGGCTGTAGAGTAACCGAGACCTAATTAGTGTCATCATATGTTTGTAAAGCATTAATTCAAAAGAAAGATCTTAAGATGGAAAGCCCCAGGGCCTTCTCTCTTACTCATGTGGAGTCTAATGTTGTTGTAACACCTGTTCTATGAGAGTATTGATAGTAAAATTAGAACAAGTTATTGACTAAAAAAAATTAAATATACAAATATATTTCATGACTTATGTGCTTTAATCTTTATATATATACATATATATAGAGAGAGACAGAGAGACAGAGAGAGAGAGAGAGAGAGAGAGAGAGAGAGAGAGAGAGAGAGTCTCCCTGTAGCCCTAGAGGGCCTGGAACTCACAGACTGGCTTCGATCTCACAGAAATCCACCTGCCTCTACCTACCAAGTGCTGGGATTAAAGGCATGTGCCACTATGCCCAGCCCTATTTTATTTGTTTGTTTAGTGATTATTTTTATTTTTGAATTATCTATATGTGTGAGTATAGGTTTATGCACATGAGTGAAGTACCGATGGAGGCCAGAAGAGGGCATCAGATCCCCTGAAACTGGAGTTTTAGGTGGTTATGAGCCACCTGACCTGGGTGCTGGGAATTGAACTCTGGTCTTCTGCAAGAGCAGTATGCATTCTTAACCATTGAATATCTCCCCAGCCTGCTAGGTAGTATATTTTAAGGCCTCTGCCCAAGCAGATTGTCGTTGTGAAATTTTTAAAAATTATGTTTGTGTGTGTGTGTGTGTGTGTTTACATGGAAATCAGACAACTCTCAGGAGTTGGTTCTCTCCTTCCATCATTTGGAATGAACTCAAGTCATCAGGCTTGGCAGTAGGAGCCTTTATCCACTGAGTAGTCTTACTAGCCTGTATTGTGAAAATTTGAAAGTTAGACTAAAGGGTGATAGTTGGACTTGAACTTCTTTGTGACTCTGGTTTGAAGTGGAGTGGTCTGCATTGCACTCTGTCTTCCTGTGGGTGATGAGCTGGTGACTGCATTATCTGGTGAACTCTCCTAGCCCCTAAGTCTCCGGAACTGCATTTGGAGCCTCTGAACTGTACCACCATTTCTGTGAAGTGGCAGCAAGATGCTGAGGACCCTGCAGCTATTCAGGGCTACAAGCTGTTCTACAAAGAGGAGGGACAGCAGGAGAATGGACCCATTTTCCTGGACACCAGTGACCTGCTGTACACTCTCAGTGGCTTGGGTGAGTGAGTCTGTCTTTCCTGCTTGTCTTTTATCCTCCCTTGTGACCAGTTGGGGAAAAAGTTATCAGATATAAGCCAGGAGAATTGACTTGATATTGCGGAGAAAAGAATTGGCTTCCTCATGTTCTGCAGTCCCCCTGCCTAAGCTTATGGTGGGGTCAGGTCACCATGATGGCCTTTTCTGTCCTCCAGCTCTGGGCATCTGCTTTCCCTTCTGAAGTTCACTTTGGGGATTGATCAGTTATTGTGGTTATGTGATGGATGTAGAATAGATAGTGAGGAGCCAGCTCAGGGGGTAAAAGCACTGTGCAAACCTGATAACCTGGGTTCAGTCCCCTGATCCTCATGGTGAAAGGAGAGAACTGACTCCCAAAAGTCATCCTCTGACCTCCACATGTATACTGTTGCAAGTGCATGCCTGCACTAAGCATATACATGTACACACACACACACACACCACCACCACCACCAACAACAACAACAACAAATTAACAAAAGGAGTATGGAATAAGGATTTTGCCAAATGACTTAATAATAGTATGTTTAGCTTAGAATTTGCCTGATTGTGTTGGTGTAAAACAATTTATATAAGTTCTGTATAAAACAATCAATTCCCTGCTGGGCTTGGTGGCACACGCCTATAATCCCAGCACTTGGGAGGCAGAGGCAGAGGCAGAGGCAGGCGGATCTTTGTGAGTTCGAGGCCAGCCTGGTCTACATAGTGAACTCCAGGACAGCTGGGGCTACAGGGAGACCCTGTCTCAAAAAGACCAAAGGAAAAGAAAAAACACACACAAAAAACAAAACAATCAATCCCCTTACCCCTGTCCCATGTGACTTTAAATACTTTCTCCATGTACCCAGAAAAACTGCCAAGAAAGCAAACACCCCTGTTTGTTTGGGTTCGTCTGTATTCCCGAGAGACACTGTTTTATTCTCATTTTGCTTAGCTTTGCCTGGTGAAAAGTATTTCATGATGTAAGCATGGTTAACAGAAGTGAAGAAATTGGGACTGGGGAATGTATATGGCTCAGTAGAGTGCTTGCCTAGCATGCATGAAACCATAGGTTCAATCCCCAGCTGTATAGTGAAAGCGAGAGGTGATAGGAAGAGGAAGAGAGGGAGGGAAAGAAGAAGAACGAGAGGGAGGGAGAGAAATAGGAAATAAATAGACTTGTATTCAGGGACTGGAGAGATGGCTGAGGTTAGGAGCACTGACTGCTCTTGTAGAGGACCTGGGTTCAATTTCCAGTACCCACATGGTGGTTAACAACCATCTGTAACTCCAATTCCAGGGGAATTTGACGCCCTCTCTGACTTTCCTGGGTATTGCATGACACCGGTGCATTTACATACATGCAGACAATATGCTCATATACATAAAATAAATAAATAAAATATTTTTTAAAAATGGAAAAGAAATTTTTGTCCAAAATGAATTGAGCATCAACAGATACCTACAATCAACTTAGCTATTTGTTGCTTGTGAGTAGATTTCCACCCACTGAATTCTTGTGGCATCATCTGCACGCAGTAGAGTTTTATGAACGACAGTGTCTTTTCCTTTCTGACTGCCCTTTAGAGATGCTGGACTAGAAGAAGCTCAATCATCCCAACGTGTGACATCACCATTTCTTTTCCTGGCCCCACAGCACAAGCCACAAAGAGGCCTGGGGTCCCTATACAATGGGACCCTCTGGTGCGAACCTGTTCCCAGATGCAAGGATACAGAAATCCATCCCATAGTTCCTTGCCATGGTTTTCCAGATGGTGTTTTTGCTTGTAATCTTATTATTTAGTTTTTAATTTAATCCGCACTTGGTTAAATAAATTTACTGTCGATCTCTGTCACGCAGCTTTTTAAATGATGGGCAGTAACATATGGTCCAGGTCCAGCCTCCTTCATCCACTGAGGGCAAGATCATATTCGCTTAGCCTGCTGTGCCTGAAGTCATCAGTTTTTAATGTCTCCCCCTGGCTTCTCAATGCACCCCGCCCTTTCTGTGTGCTTATCATTGATTAAGAAACTTGTCACTTGTATACAGAAGGAAACAAGGTTTGAGACAATTGATGAAAGGCCATAAGACCCAAGAGAAATATGTAGAAAAAAGATAGAAATATATTTCTCAAGTGCGTTTCTTAGACATATCAGATAGTTTAAAGAGTTAAATAGTTAAATAGGTTGGAAAACAAGAAAGGAAATAATCTCTGTCTCAAAAAGACCCAAAAAAGTAATAATAATAATAGAGAACATGAAGGGGGTGGTAATAAGCTGGGAGAGGAAATTGTAGAGGGGACCTGAATATGAGAAAAATGAACTGTATGAAATTCTGAAAGAATCAATAAAAAATATTAAAACAAAAAGACTAGCAATGAGCTGGGCCTGCCAGCACCCACAGTCCCCATAATCCCAGCACTTGGGAGAAGGAGGCAGGATGATTAGGAATTTTCAAGTTTGAGGCCAGTCTGGATTACATGAGAACCTGTCTCAAACAAACAAGCAAAAAAAACCTGACAGTTGAAAATAGTTCTTTAGTATTCTAAAATTTTCTACAGATACATATAGATACATGCATAGAAATAAATATGGGAAAAGATGGATATTTGGAAACACTCATTCATTCCTTTGGAGATAGGGCCCATAGATTTTTGTTGAACTCTTTTGTTTTTTCAGATAATAGCTTTCAAAACCATTAGCCCTTATTTCCTTCTATATTTTAAATATCAATTACATAGAGCTGAGGAGATGGCTCTATGGTAAAGCTCTTGCTGTGTAAGCCTGAGGACCTCAGTTTGAATCCCCAGAACTATTGTAAAGCCAGGTACAGTATAGCACACATCTGTTAATCCCAATGCCCTTGTAGGGAGATGGAAGGTAGAGACCAAAGGCCAGCTAGCCTGGTGTTCACAGTGGGAAACCACCAGTGTCTCAAATAAGATGAAAGTGGATTACCAACACAAGAGGAGGCTCTGACCTCCACATGTGTGCCGTGGCATGCAGTCACATGTACTCATACAAGTGTGCACACACACACACACACACACACACACAAAGATTTCAAAAATTGATTATGTCTATACTGCCCGTTTTATTTGTTTTGGTCTTTTGAGTCAGGGTCTCCCTGTAGCCACAGCTGGCTTGGAACTCATTATGTAGACCAGACTGGTCTTGATCTCAAAGAGATCCACCTGCCTCTGTCTCCTGAGGCCTGGGATTAAAGGCGTGCACCACCATGCCTGGCCTGCCCTTGTTTGCTGTTGTAACATCTATTGTGTATGCCATTTTCGGTAACTCTACTTAAAAATCACTTTTGTGTGGGGGGGAGTAGGCATGTTTATGTGTTCATGTGTGCATGCACACGCGTGTATCTACGTGTGGAGGCTACAGGCCAGTGCTGGGTGTCTTCCTCTGTCTACTTCTTTGTTTGAGTCAGGGCCTCTCACTGAATTTTGAGCTCATTAGGTAGACTGGTGGACCATCGAGCCCAGGGATCCTCCTGGCTCTGCCTCCCCTGTTCTAGGATTACAGCTGCATGCGAACATAGACTGTCTTTTTGTGGGTGCTAGAGTTCAAACACAGGTCCTCATGTTTGCATGGCTAGCATTTTACTCACAAAGCCATCTCCCCCTCCCCTAAAAACATTTTTTAAATTTGTAAACTAGAAAACTGTTTCGGTGTAGTTGGCATGCTTTCTCTATTAAGTGTCTCCATGCTTCCTGACTATGGAATTAGTCTCAGTGTTTGGACTGTTTTAGTTAAGGTCTCATGGCCTCTTTTGGGTCACAGGTTCTGTACCCCGAGCTACTTGTACACTACAAGACTAGTGCCTGGCTAGTGGGGATGCAATTGTATGGGTTTTACCACTGTACAGCTGTTGAGCAGGCCGCCTTGAAGGTGTTCTTTTTTTTATAAAATTTTTTTTGAGTTTTTACGATTTTTATGCAATATAGTTTGATTGTATTTTGATCCCTTCTATCCACACCGCCCCTTACTTCCCTCCTCCCAATTTAATGTACTCTTTTATATATACAACACAGTTTATAAAGTAAGATTTGTGTCTCCAAATGTCCTTCAGTGTAGGTCCATCCACTGAACCCACCAAGAGTTCCATCCCTATAAGACACTGTCTTTTCCCCTTCATAAGATGGTTTTTAATGCCAAAACACCTTGGGTCTAATATTCATTTTCTAGAACGTCTCCACCAGGTCCTGGCCAAGCTTTTGACAGGCGAGTGTTAAGAGCTGCCTTTCCTCTCCTTACTTTTGGATATAGGAGGGCAGTATATTCTGTTAACAGGACAGCTGGTCATCTGTGACTGTCCTTAGTGAGAGCATCTGGCAGTGGCTGCCTGTTTAACAGAGAGTGATGTGTCCAGAGGCCAGTAGGTTACGGGAGCTCTATCTGTGCCTTAGGTGGTGAATATGGGCTTTCCTAAGCCTTTGCATGGGAAATATGTGCTAACTGGGGCTAGATTTACTGAGTGGCCTTGGAAATGAATTTAAATGCTTTTGCTAACTGATTCAATGTCAGTTAAATAACTGCTTACTCAAAATTTCTTTTTTGAACCTCTCTGGTGGCTTTAGATACAGCTTTCTTGCTTTCACTTCTGGTAATTAAGTTTTCAGTTTAAAAAGTGTAGTGTTGGGGCATGTCCTCCTTAGAAATATGCATAATTCTTTGTTCTAAGAGAAAGAAAAACATAAAAGAATTTATAGTTTTCAGTTAATTTAATAAGCATTTAAGATATTTTTCTAAAGAAAGCATAGTATATCAAAAATACATGAGAGATCTGATTTCTGCTTAAAACAGAAAAGACTAAACTAATTGATAATGTAATTGGCTGTTTTGTCCAATTTCCCCCAAGCACCTGATTAACTAAATTTAATTGGAGTTAGTAATGAAGTTACCATAGAATATTTTACTCTAAAACCTCCAAGCTCAGTTCCCCAAGATGTGGAATGGTTTGTTTGTGAAAGTGATTAAAGAAATTTTTGTGTC